CTGTAAATGCGCATATTATGGCAATTATTATTCATCATTAAATGTGGTTTTAACATTATTTTTATAAAGTTTGAAGTCCGTGCTGTCCAATCCAGCTCACTGTTTTTTATAGAAGCCCTGTGAAAGCATCACAGCTTTGCCGATCTCAGAGTGTTAAAAGAAAAAAATTACTGCATCCGCATCGTGATCTGGAACATCACCAAAGTTTAAAGGTGTGTTCCTTGGCCCACTACCCACATGTGGTAAAAATGTCATGTCAATCCGTCCACAAGTTTTTGAGTAATGTTGTCCACAGACAGAACGGCAGACAGACAGACATACGTGACAGAAAACATTGCCTCGCCCTTGGCAGAGGTAATAATTAATAGTGACATTTTGTGTATATAAACAATAATGGCTACAGCTAAGTCATTTATCAATTTAAAGGAGATATATCATGCTTTTAATCTGAGGTGTCTCATTTCAACTAATTTTGAGGCTGCCTCTTTAAATCCAAACAAGGCACTTCACATCCCACTTCCCTCCAGRTTCCAGACGGTTCATTCTGACAGAGGGGTACTAAATAGCTGCTCAGAAATGTATTATTTACAAATTAATTAAAAGATGTCAACAAGTGAAGACTTCTCCATCCAGCCTAATGCCAGGTTTACACGGCAGGATAACTGGGATGATTTTTGCCCAACAATCTTAAGGATGCTCAGATTATAGTGATGATCCTAAAGATAATTTGAGCAGATCTTCCTGCCATGTGTGGTGAGTTAAGAGTGATCTAGTCTTCTCAAAAGGATGTCGGGACCACTCTGATCTCAAATCGGGGATATTCAGTGTTGGATTTTTGTTGGGCCCGATGTCACAACCTGTGTGGTGTTCACCCAAGAACAAATAAGTTCGCAGTCTGTTGAGTGTGACGTGTACCAATCAGAAAGCGAGGCTATGTAAACACAGAGAGGAATCCGAAATACAGAAGACATAAAAACWGTCATGACTCACCAAAAATGTTGGAGCCACAGTCTGACTCAGAGTCAGAGGAGAAAGTAGTTTGTAAGTAGTTGGCAGTAATTTGATATAATAGTTCAGAAAACTTAATAGAAGATAGAGAAAACTGAATGAGTTGAAAAATAGTGGCCCAAACCTGATGTAAAGATATCTACGCAGCACCGGGAGAAACTAAAAATGTAACTTTTCTGCACTCCAGACTCCAAATACACAATAAAATGTATCAGCTAAAAGAAATGGATTTTTGCACAAAATGTCCTCTTTAAGATGAATTTAGTCTCAGACTCTGGCATGAAAGGTKGCAGGCAGTGTGTCTCCTTTAATTGTTTATTAGTTTTTGTGTTAATAATTCAAATACATGATTACAGATTTTTTTTTCCTTCCTGCATATTCAAGCAGCCATTAGCCACTCAAGAAAAAATGAATTGTACATGCAGATTTAAAAAAATATATTTTAACTTCCTTGATATTTGGGCATAATTAGGTCCAAAATACCTCTGCCTTTGCACGCCTGAAGAGTGACCTATTTGGTTTTGTCTCACTTCTCTTTCTGTGTGTCAGATCTGAAAAAAAAAGACTGTACTTGGAGGACGGGCCAAGCCGTCCCAACGGGCTCCACCACTTATCACCAGTCTTCTGAGATTCCACCAAGATTCAACCCCTTATGAATAATCTCACCCACAGGCACAAAGGAGCACTGGAAGGAGTGGGGCGGTGGGGAGCGACAGATTATTTAGAAAGACACGGGGAGGGTTGGGGATGGTTTGAGGGGGAATAAGAAAAAAAAAGAGGAAAAAGGGCAGACAAGAGGGAGAGAGATGGAGAGAATAAAGGAAGAGGGAAGTAGGAGGTAACGAGGGGATGAAGGATGGAGAGAAAGTGAGGAAATCTTTTGATGTTTCTCTCCACAGAGAGGGCATCAAGCTGGATGCTGGATCCAAAGCTCGCCGCGCTGCTTGAAGGAACTGACTGGTTTATTAAACGCCACCACCGCCCCCATGCCTCCGAGCATGATGGGATTAATGCTGGCATAACCCTTTACTTAATTCATTACAGGGGGAYGCTGGCTAATTTGATTTGATATTATTTTAATAAAGTTCTGTGATGATTTGGAAGATTGTTTCAGGCTATCAGAAATAATTTTCCAGTTATTACTGCCATTCAGGCAAGTCCTTTGATAGTGGCAGTCAGTCGTGGTGTGTGCAGAATACATTAGCCATAAAGTGCGAGTTCTTTAGCTGCAAAGCTTCTGAGGAAATACTAATAATGACGCCGCTGTGAAGTGCTGAGTGTTGGGAAACAAAGCTCAGATGTGGTGCGGGCAGCCGCTGTGGACTGCAAACATGACAGAGGAGGACTGAGACAGAGGCTCAAAGCAGAGGAGCAATATTTTGTATGCATTGAGTATACACATGTCACCGTGTTAAATCTCCCAGGGATACATGGTTGCCTTTCAGAGGAAAACCAGTGCTTTGTGTTATTCATGTGATTATTGAAGGGACTACTGCTGGCGTGGGTGTCTCAGAACAAAAAAAAAAGAAGAAATATGTTTTTTTGTGTGTGTGTGCATGACTGTAGATTTAGGCACAAATCGAACAGAATGTTGAAAAAATAACATCCTGCAAAGTTGTCTTTCTGAAAATCTACAAAAGCCCTCCATGCTTTTAGAAATGATATTTGAYGCTACATTTCAAATGTGTRTTTTCTTATAGCATGATTAAATTTAAATCAGGRACATAGTGGTCCCTCAGTGTTCGAATAATCCTGTTTTACGCCAAGTCCTTTGTCCACCTCACGTCTCGAGACGCTGCCAGTTCCGGATAATCCCACCACTGTCTCTTCACCTCTTTTACATATTCCTGAAGATAAACGCAGACGCTGATGCTTCACAGTGTCTGTCTGCGCTCAAAGCCTGCAAGTTTTTGGACGAGAAGGTAAAGAAGTGGTGGTGGTGTCGAGGGTGGGGGGGATAAGTGGGGCGGGCTCTTTAGTTAGAGTTGAACTGTATGGTGGTGACAATGTTTTTGTTTTGCTTTTTTTTTTCCTTAAACCACAAATGACACACATTTCCCTCTGAAAAGATAAGCTCCCAGTCAAAGGCTGCGAAGGATGTCTGGGACCCTGTGAAAGAAGTGGGGGGAATTACCTACCAGGGGTCTGGCATGAAGGGAGGTGGGATTGAGAGTGTGTG